GGGGGGGGGGGGGGTGTCTTCCCCCGTTACGTCCTCACTCCACTGCAGCTTTGGCACCCAGTGGCTGTCACGTACAGCTACTTCTTCCACACTCCCAGCGCGCTCAACGTTTGGGCACACAAGATTTTCTTCCCTGTCTTCCTCCCTTACATCCTCACGCCTTTTCGAAGGTCGCCCGCCGGCGATTCACTTTATTGACGGGGCTGGGCCTCCAAAAATTTCATACGCGACGAGTTTGCTTTTCAGCAAGGGTGTGGCCTTGTACCGGCTGTCCCGCGGGCTTTCTCTTTTTAACTTTCTAACAAGTTTCTACACAGTACTTCGGTTCTTGCAGTCAGAATTCCATGGCCATACTTGAAGCTACCGTCTTCCCCCGAATAGCCCACACGATCACTGGAGCTTTATTTCCTGCAACTTTCAGTCTAGATACGTCGATAATGATTGTGCATTACTACGTTCTGTTCGGGAAAAGGCAGTATGTGCACTCCTCTTTTCCCCACTTGCACTCAGATACACCCAGTTCAAGGTGGAATTCCAGTCAGCTACATCCAGGAAATCCCGAGAGCGAGTATGCCCTCAGAATCTCATCAATCCTTGGACAGGCAAGAATCAAGTTCAGCTCCGCCAAAAAAGAAAGAAAAAAAAAACGAAGAGATTTCTAAGACTTTAAGGGGGGGAAGGGCAAATTTTTGATATGCCCCTGAAAGTTTGATTTATTTGTGGGGCGTGCCCCTCTGACAGCCAACTTACCCTGTAGCGCCCCTCTGACAATGATTGAAGTTTCCGAAAGACCCCTGGTGCCGTTTGGGCCTGAAATTTGTTCAATATGCCCCTGGCGGTACCCGTTCCAAATTTCCAGTATGCCCCGGTAGCTCCCCTCCCAGGGCCGGCGGAACGGCCGCGAGTCCCACCAACGGACACAGGGGCATACTGGAAAGTTGCACCCCTCATTGAAAGGGGCCTGCAGGAAACTTCAGAGGCCTCAGGGGCATGGCAGGGTAAGTCGCCCATTGGGGCACGCCGCAAACTGATTGAACTTTCAGGGCCATATATACGACAACAAAAAAAAAAAATTCCCCAAAAAAAAAACACACCCCACGGTACAGCTCAGGACGTACATAATACCTGCCTGAGCCCTTTTTCATTCGCTGGAATATAGGATGAACCTGTGCATTTTTTGTGGCAAGATTCATGCTTTCTCAGCATAATAATCATAGCATTAGCATGTTACAGTACACGTGGTTGTTTGGTTTCACACCAGCACAGCTCCAAGCATATATTATATGCGCACTGTGGCACTACCCCCAATTTCCCCCTTTTCAGTCAGCTTCAGAGGGATAGAGGCCAAATAGCACACAGCACCCTCCACCCCCCAAAAAAAACACATGTCCCATCCTCAAATGCCAGCAGCCTGCCGAGACACACAAGAGACGGCATTTGGGGCCATCTCTGGGAGTGCGCCCGTGAACACCTCCTAGATTTGAGAAAAGAAAAAAAATTAAAAAACTTTGATAACGACAAACGATTTACAATTCCATTGAAGAAAAAAAACTTTTCAAAAAA